GAGGAAATTTATCAATCTATTCCTTTATGGCTTGCTCATGTTTGCTAGGAATTGCTTTTTTGTTTGTGTTTTTTTTAAAACCTTGCTGACTCCTACTGTCAGTGCATATTCACTCTATATTTCATTCTATCATTTTGATGTTTTAAGGTTTGAAATTGAGGTGTTAATGGGAAATTTGAGTAGAATGATCTAAATGCCAGATGGTTTTGTTTTTTCAAAATGGAGCAGTCAAAAGCTGCACTTGAAACATAGAATAGGGCTTTTCCAAGTGGAGGAGTTGGGTGAAAACACTGATGTGGATAAAACTGCCTAGAGAATATGTAGAATTGAAGAGAAAGGGGCTGAGGACACAGATGAGAGGAACACCTATATGAGCAGAACTGGCTGAAAAGGATATACAGGAGACCTAAGAGGAATCGCCAGAGAGGTAAGATGAAATTCAGGGATTGATGGATATGGGAAACCAAGAAAGGCAAGTTTTGACAAGGCTGGAGTAGACCTTGGTGTCAACTGTGATATCCATCAACCCATACTGTAGCAGTCATTTGTCTTTTTCAAGGAGGCAACTTTACGGAGAAGGACCCTCGAGGTCTTATTCACTTCTGTATTCCTAGCACTGAATGTGGTGCCTGCCCATAATGGCATTCATCCATCAAACACATATAATCTATAGATCTATAAATCTCCTAATTAATCCATATAAGTCTAGTTGAATGAATAAATTTTGAAATCTTCCCCTTTCCTTGAATTAATTTATCAAAGTAAATCTCACAACCAACCCAGAATTTTGAGAGGTTCTGGGACCTTTTCACTCACACTATATAATTAGTATTATTTTGGTCCTGGCCTTTTAAACAGACCGAGGTGGATTCCATGAAGGCACAACTTGAGGAGACATGTGGGGCCTGACTATAAATCTGCTGTTAAGAGGAATTTCAGGAGTGTCCACCAATGCCAGCTACTCTTTAAGGTACCCTGTACCTACCCCAGAGGCTTCATATTGGCCGTTGTTCTCCTGACATTAGTTATTTTGTGGATTTATGAAGCACCTTTCCGTGAACTGTCAATCTCTAAATTGTCTGTAAAATATGGTCCATTGGGTAAAGGATTAGAATTATTCATAAGATAGTTTCTACCTCAGTTGGTGCTGAAATTACTCACTCAGGGTATAATTAAGTCATAGATACATTGGCCTTCATGTGGATAAGGTGGAAAGGAAATAATTTCTGTTCCGATTGGGTGTTTTCTGATGTTTGACAAGCATATGGTGTGTTAATCCATGAACTGAGGAAAACTCAGAGTCCCTGTGAAGTTTTTTGGTTTTTGTTTCTTTTCTCCCAAGAGAACTGGAGAAGTACTGACTAGGGATGAAAGGAATAAGAGCTGAAAAAGCTTAAGGTTGTAAACAGGATGACAACAATGAAATCTGATGGGTAAGGACGAAATAACAAAGTTGTAGCTTGAGAAAGAAGAAAGCAGCAAAAAGAGGGACTGGTTGCTAAGATTCTAGGCTGAGCGGGCACAGGGCTTGGGTGTTCTGAGAGGGTCAGGCCAGGCTGTACCACCACGTGGTTGGCCTCCCTCCCATGTACAGAGCCTTAACAGAGAGCCTTGCATTTACTTACCCCCTTGACGTGCCCAACTCTTCTGCAGAGATGATGTACGAACATGGCCTGGTGAGCGCATGTGCACGCTAACAAGATACAAATGCTCAGACATTGCAGACAAATTAAAATTTATTGAGACAAACAAATGCACCTACTCAGGACTACAGTTAAGCATTTACTATTAACCAAAAGGGTCATGTTCACATTCCAGATAAGTCTACATGGGAAAGCATTCAGAATTTACTAGGTTTATCTACTTCACTATTTCATCTACAACAGGGACAACAAACTTGACACTCAGGAGTTGGTGGGCTCTCATTACATTGCTACACATGGAACAGAGACAGACATCAGTGACTTTGAGAAAAAGGTATAAAAAGACCAAAACCACCCACTGTAGAAAGGGCTCTTGTTTGTTACTGTACAGTGTGGTCAAGGTTAAAAACAAAACTGTAGATGGCATCCTGGGAAGAGGAGAGGGGCAGACCTGGACAGACATGTTGTCATTCACTGCTGGGTGTGGGAGGACGGGCATAAAGGAGGAAGAACTGGTTCAGTAGGAGGGAATTCCCTACCTTGCCTACAACATGCCTAGAATGTTGGCGGAAACAAAAAGACACTAATATGGTAGATAACTAACTATTGTGGAAGAAAATTCTGGGGCTTAACTTAGATGCTAAGGAAATGGTATCAAATTAAAAAACCATTTATAGAATAAGAATAAAACTATTCACTAAGGAGGTTCCAAAAAATGAGTCATTGAAGTTTCAACTCCATACCTGTCTACAATAAGGGAATGATTATCACAGTACTATATTTTTTAATCAAAATTTTGATGGATACTTTGTCACTATCTAAAGGACTCCTGCCAAGAAGAAAGAAAAGCAAAAATTCTTCTAAAGACGAAGTAACTAAAAAATCACATCTTTAGTACTTATGCAAAGTACCTTTGAAAGAAACTAATGCTGTCTTGCCAAAGTGAGGCATGAAAAGTGGCATTAATGTTGTTCCATTGATTTTGGGTTCCTGTCTTAGGAGGGCTTTTTACTTAATATTTTAATGAATCAAAATATCTTCTTGGAATATCTCTGAAAATGAGCATCTCATTACCTTCCTGGGAATTGACTAGTGAGCACTCTTCTCCATCATTAGGTTAATGCTAAGGATCTTTAAGTGTCATCTTAATTTGACACTTGTCATAAGATAATTAGGCAAATTAAAATCAGTGGTTCACTCTGTTCCTAGAAGTTTCTCTAAGCGAAACCAATTTATCGATTTTAATTCGTTCTCTTGTGCATTTTTCTAAGCTCAGAGGAGACGATAACAATGGTTTTCTCTGATGGCCTAGACTGAGATTTTTTAATATTTCTCGATTCTTTTATATACGTGATTATAATTTAGCTGCAATTAAGCACGTGTTTTTTTATAAATTATCATCTCAGAGTTTTGTCCAAGTGAGAAAAAAAATTGAAACAGAAGTGATGGAGTTGAGATCCCAATACAGAGCTTGTCTATGGTCACCTGATACCTAGGGTCCTGGCTGTACTCATGTCTTTGAGGCCGAACAAGTTCAGTGTATCAAGTAATTTCATGTCGCATCTGAGCCAACTCCAGGGATAAGGCAAATGGGCCTGGCCAATGCAGGGATTTAAAAATACTAGTTTGAGGTGGGCTGGTAAAGTAGAAACAAACAGTCAGTTTGGAGTAGGGGTTGGTCAGCTGCCACTATAATCATAGTTTGGCTGAATATATTTTTTGCCTGAGTTTGTGTGGTCTCCTTGTGGACTGGCTGGAGCCAGGAAGGGAAGAAAACAAATATGGGCCACAGAGCCTTGCTGGGTGGCTGGTGAGGAAGGTGGAAACCAGGTTGGGCAGGAGCTTAAGGCCCATACTGAACTAAATGGGGCCACTTGGAAGACTACTCTTTGGTACTTGTATTGGGAGAAATCCTAAAGATTGTAGAGATGATGACCCTGCCAAATTTGGAGATGGATTCTAATCAGGAGTTGACTTAGGGCAAAGAAATGCAATGGTGAAGGGCTTTCTTCATGAGTCCCTTGACACATGTATGGGGGAGGGGATGAGGGCAGGATTAGCTCTTAAAAAGTCCCACCCTGGCTTCCCATGTGATGTTATAAAGTTCTTTCTGGGCCTCCATCTGAGATTGTTTACAAATGTTAAGTGATCAAAGAAAATCTGTAGAGATTTTGTAGTCTCATCATGATGTGTGGAAAGATAGGGGCAAAACTGAAAGATTGAGTTAAGGATGCAAATTTTCTTCTGCTAAGAAACAGCAAGGAGACTGTCTTCTTAGAGAGCAGGGGGTATGTGTACATGCCTTACAAAAAGCCCTTGAGTAGGTAGGGGGGAGAGGGGCCTGCTACAGACAGGACTGCCACAGCCAGAAGCGGGTTGGAGCTGAAATGAGAGCAATGGCTTGTGAAGCTGCCCACGTGGGAGTCTCATGGCTTCTGAGAGGAAAGCGATTTAGGCAGACAGAGCCTTATCCAAATCAAAGAGGCTTCCAGTAACTCCGCTGCCGCAGATGGAAGCAGCCTCCTCAGCCTGCAGGCTACAAGTGCCAACTGGTAGTGCAAAAAAAAGGACTTCGATACAGATTTGCTATTCCAGAAATGACGATCCAGGTCTGGACAAGCTGACAAATGTGTAATTGTTTTTCAAATAAGTTTTTTAATAGATACCCAACGCCCCCCCCTTTTTTTCTGAGTGGTGTATACAGTGTCTTCTGTATATACTTACCTATTTATGCACATACAGACAGAAGTACCCAGATACCTTTTTTAATAAAGAAAATTGATTCCCCAAAGGGACTCTTGACTGAATTAAGGCTGTTATTTGTAGGAAGCCAGATCAAGTGAACTGAAAAACTGATTTGTAATAATAGACACCGGGGGTGGTGGGGGGGTGGGTTGGGCAGGGGGGAAAAGGTACAGTGTGGTGTGTTTTCCACAACATCTACAGGACACAAGAAAAGCACTTAGACACGGTAAGGCTGGGAACCATGCTGTAATAACCACCCGTGTGGGTGACTGGAAAGGGTCTTTGACGTTTAGAGGGTGGGGGCTCCCTGCACTGTCAAAATCCCACATACATCACATGCTTGTTGTAAAAAAACTCACAGAAGGGAAGGAGGCTCTCATTCAGCCAGCCATTCCCCTGTCTAAAAAACAAAGCACAACACCCTTCTTCCCACACGCCATATGCAAAATCAGCATGATCCGGGAACAAGGAGTTGTCTTCCAAAACCCTAGCTTGGGTGGAGAGGGCGATGATGGAGAAGAGGCTGTGTGCTGTGGAGTCTTAGAGACAAATGCAGGAACGGGAAGTGACTTGCAATTCTGTGCAGACCTCGTGTCCTCCTCCGTGTGGGGACTACCATATGTACCCGACCTCATCCTCTTTGTCGTCGTCCTCATCCTCGTCATCCTCTGTCACTGCCCGGGCATGCACCCGTGGCTTCCCCAGTCTGTCCTTGGGTCCCAGCTCCTGCTCATCCTCCAGGTCATCCAGCAGAACCACAGAGCCACCGCTGCCAAAGTCCCCCGAGGTCTCCTGCTCCTCCTCTGAAAGGAGGAAGAAGAGATGGGAGGTAAGTTTCTGCTTATGCCTCACGACCTCCTTAGTGGTAGGGCAAAACCATGCAGTTTACCTTTTGAACATGGGAGCATCCCCATCTACCTGGTAGGGACCACAAGCTTTAGTCTGTTAAAAGCTCCAGAATTCTAAGGAGGTTTATCTTGAGAGTCACTCTTGGCCTGCAGCCAGTCCCTGACTGTCAAAAACTGCTGTCCAGTTCAATGGTCATGGTGAGCTCCTGCCACTCAAAAAACTAGCTATGCATCATCTCATGTGATTCCAGGTTTACTGTGTCTCCATTGTCAACTTGCTCACTGTAGACCACAGGGACCTCTTGAGATTCTTCTACCCAGATCCTCATACAGTGAGTACCTACAAGTCTCTAGAGGTCACTGAGGGGTAGGTGCAGAAGGCCTTACTCACCACAGTTCACAGCACCCTGTTTCCTGGAGCCGGCTAGCTCGTTGCCATATTTATCCACACACCAGCACTGCCCCGTGCTGCCGTGGCACTGTGTGGCTTTGTAATAGCCCTCCTCATTACACCGAGGGATGAATGCTCCTGGGGGAACAAAAGGTACAGCTTGAATCAGAAAGTCAAAAGTGCTCAGTTGTGTCTGACTCTTTGTGACCCCATGGACTATACAGTCCATGGAATTCTCTAGGCCAGAATACTGGAATGGATAGCCTTTCCCTTCTCCAAGGGATCTTCCCAACCCAGGGATCAAACCCAGGTCTCCTGCATTGCAGGAGGATTCTTTACCAGCTAAGTCACAAGGGAAGCCCAAGAATACTGGAGTGGGTAGCCTATCCCTTCTCCAGTGGATCTTCCTGACCCAGAAATCAAACCCGGATCTCCTGCATTACAGGCAGACTCTTTAAGAACTGAGCTTGAATCAGAGAATAGAATCACAGATAGAGTTAATGCCTTCTAAAACAGACAACTTCTATAGAAAAACATCTACTTCTGCTTTATTGATTATGCCAACACCTTTGACTATGTAAATCGCAATGAACTGTGGAAAATTTGAGATGAGAATACCAGACCACCATACCTGCCTCTTGAGAAATCTGTATGCAGGTCAAGAAGCAACAGTTAGAACTGGACATGGAACAACAGACTGGTTCCAAATCGGGAAAGGAGTACATCAAGGCTGTATATTGTCACCCTGCTTATTTAGCTTATATGTAGAGTACATCATGAGAAATGCCAGGCTGGATGAAGCACAAGTCGGAATCAAGATTGCTGGGAGAAATATCAATAACCTCAGATATGCAGATGACACCATCCTTCTGGCAAAAAGAGGAGAGGAACTAAAGAGCCTCTTGATGAAAGTGAAAGAGGACAGTGAAAAAGCTGGCTTAAAACTCAACATTCAAAAAACGGAGATCATGGCATTGGGTCCCATCACTTCATGGCAAATAGATGGGGAAACAATGGAAACAGTGAGAGATTTTATTTTCTTGGGCTCCAAAACAACTGCAGATGGTGACTGCAGCCATGAAATTAAAAAATGCTTGCTCCTTGGAAGAAAAGCTATGACCAACCTAGATAGCATATTACAAAGCAGAGACATTACTTTGCTGACAAAGGTCCATCTAGTCAAAGCTATGGTTTTTCCAGTAGTCATGTATGGATGTGAATTGGACTATAAAGAAAACTGAACACCAAAGAATTGATGCTTTTGAACTGTGGTGTTGGAGAAGACTCTTGAGAGTCCTTGGACTGCAAGGAGATCCAACCAGTCAATCCTAAAGGAAATTAGTCCTGAATATTCACTAGAAGGACTTATGATGAAGCTAAAACTCCAGTACTTTGGCCACTTGATGTGAGGAACTGACTCATTTGAAAAGACCCTGATGCTGGGAAAGATTGAAGGCAGGAGGAGGAGGGGACAACACAGGATGAGATGGTTGGATGCCATCACCGACTCGATGGACATGAGTTTGAGCAAGCTCCAGGAGTTGGTGACGGACAGGGAAGCCTGGTGTGCTGCAGTCCATGGGGTCTCAAAGAGTCAGACATGACTAACAACTGAACTGAAGACAGACAAGAGGGTTCACACATTGGACAGTATTTTCTGTCAAGCCAGCAAGAAAGAATGGCATGCTTCATTATAACCTAGTGAAGTTTTAAGGGGCCTAGGACTTACTCAAGGTTAGAAAGGATTCCTTCTTTGATCATGAGGTCAACTTTTCCCTGTGGTTCTACTCTTTTATTTCAGAAGTTTTCCAAGTTTTATTGAAATATAATCAACATATAATTGGCATGGTCTTCCCAGGTGGTGCTAATGGTAAAGAATCCGCCTGCCAATACAGAAGACACAAGAGACATGGGTTCGACCCCTGAGTCAGGAAGATGCCCTGGAGGAGGAGATGGCAATCCACTCCAGTATTCTTGCCTGGGAAATTCCATGGACAGAGGAGCCTGGCAGGCTACAGTCCATGGGGCTTCATGGATTTGGACACAACTAAGCAAGTGAGCACACACACACATAATTGACATACAGCACTGTAGAAGATTAAGGTGTACAGTATAATGGTTTGACTTATATACTGTGAAATGATAAGCACAATAAATTTTGGTTACATCCAACATCTCATATAGAAAAAAAGTTTTTTTCCTTGTGAGAACTCTCAGGATTTACTCTCTTAACACTTTCATATCTACTATACTGTGGTGTTAACTATCAATATTGTGTTGTATGTTTTATCTTCAATATTTATTTATCTCTTAACTGGAAGTTTGTACCTTTTGACCACCTTCAATCTGCCAACTGTCAATACCCTGCCTGTGTTTATCACAAGTCTTGTCTATTAATATTTCTTCATGAGTTTGTTTTAAGATTAGACATACAAGTGACCATACGGTATTTTCTTTCTCTGACTTATTTCACTTAGGATAATGCTCTCAATATCCATCCAGGTTGTCACAATTGGCAGAGTTTCCTTTATTTTTGATGGATGAATGATATACTGTTATATACTTGCACACACATATATTTGCACGCACACACACACACCAATGCATACATGTCTTTATCTATTCATCCATCGAAGAACACTTAGGTTGTTTTCATATCTTGGCTAATGTGAACAGGAGTGTGCAGATTTCTCTTTAGTATATTCATTTCCTTTGGATATATTCCCAGAAGTGAATTTCTGGATCATCTGCTGCTGCTGCTGCTAAGTCGCTTCAGTCGTGTCCGACTCTGTGCGATCCCATAGACAGCAGCCCACCAGGCTCCCCCATCCCTGGGACTCTCCAGGCAAGAACACTGGAGTGGGTTGCCATTTCGTTCTCCAGTGCATTAAAGTGGACATGGAACTGGACATGCATTAAAGTGAAAAGTGAAAATGAAGCCACTCAGTTGTGTCCGACTCTTAGCAACTCCGTGGACTGCAGCCCACCAGGCTCCTCCGTGGGATTTTCCAGGCAAGAGTACTGGAATGGGGTGCCATTGCCTTCTCCGCTGGATCATATAGTAGTTTTTTTTTTTAAATTTTGGGGGGAACCTCCATACTGTTTTATTCCCTTGTGGCTGTACCAATTTATAATCCCAGCAACAGTGCACAACATTTCTCCTTTTCCCACATCCTTGCCAACATTTTTTATTCCTGTTATTCCTTTTTCACAATTCTCACAGGCAGAAGCTGATATCTTATTGTGGTTTTGGTTTTCATTTCCCTGATGACTATTGATGCTGAGCACCTTTTCATGTCCCTGTTGACTATTGCAAATTGTATCATCTGCAAACAAAATTTTACATATTCCTTTCCACCTTGGATGATTCATTTCTTGCCTGATTGCTCTGTCTAGGACTTCCAGTATTACATTGAATAGGAGTGGTGATACCTTTGTCTTTTTCTTGATCTTAAGAGGAAAAGCTTTAAACCTCTCACCGTTGAATAGGATGCTAGCTGTGGTTGTCATATGTGGCCTTTATTAAATTGGGGTACATTGCTTTAATACGTAATTTATTGAGGTTTGTATCATGAACAGATGTTCAGTTTTGTCAAATGGATTTACTCCATCTATTGAGATGATCATATAATATTTTTCTTTCATTCTATTAATGTGATGCATCACTTGGCTGATTTGTGTGTGTAGAACCATCATTACATCCCAGGAATAAATCCTACTTGATCATGGTAAATAATCCTTTTAATGTGATGCTTAATTTGGTTCACTAGTATTTTATTGAGAAATTTGTTTTTGTGCATCTATATTCATCTGGGATACTGGCCTGTAGTTTCCTTGTAGTGTTTTTTCTGGCTTTAGTAACAAGGTAACTCTGGCTTTGTAAAATGAGTTTGGGAGTGTTCCTCCCCCCTGAAATTTTTGGAAAGAGTTTGAGAATGATTGGTATTCTTCTTTAAATATCTGGTGAAATTCACCAGGGAAGTTATCTGCTCTTGGTCCTTTCTCTCCTGAGAGACTTTTCATTATTGATTCAATCTCCTCACTAGTCTGTTCAGATTTTCTATTTCTTCCTGATTAAATAAAGTTTTTTTAATACTTGAGAGAATCATAGGATTTTTTAAATCCTTTATATATTTCTAATGAGTGGCACAATTTAAAAAAGATACCTGTTTTCCTCAAATAAATACTACTTGGTCATGATATATTGGATTTAATTTGCTGATCCTTTTATATCTGTGTTACTCAGTGATAGAGGTATATAATTTTGTTCATTTTCTGTATCAAAGCAACTCTTTTGTAAACGGATTCAGGTACTTTTCTTTTTCTATACTCCAGATGTTTTATATAAAATGAGAATGATCTCCATAAAGTATTCAGCTGTAGAAATATGTTGAGCCTAGTGCCTATTTTAGGAGGTGACAGTAGTATTTTGATTTAAATTAATTTGTTTTCTTAGTTTAGTTGAGTCTTCTTTTTCCTCATGACCCAAATGTGGTAATTCATAGTATCCTTTTCAGTCAAGTTTTCATAATTGCTATGAGTTGGTTTATGGCAATGGTTTTCAAAGTGTGGGCCCAGAAGCAGCTGCAGCATCAGTGGGAAATAGCTAAGAAAATTTTTGAGCCTACCCCAAACCTACTGAGTTAAAAACTTTGACAGTAGGGCCCAGAGAACTTTAATAAACTCTCCAAGTGTTTTTCTGATGCACAGTGAAGTTTCAGAACCACACATTTATAGCATGCATCTATATCTGTGGTTACAAGGCTTCCCAGGTGGCTCAGTAGTAAAAGAATCTGCCTGCCAATGCAGGAGTTGCAAGAGATATGGGTTCAATCCCAGGGTCAGGAAGATCCCCTGGAGAAGGAAATGGTAACCCACTCCAGTATTCCTGCCTGGAGAATCCCATGGACAGAGGACCCTGGCAGGATACAATCCATAGGATTGCAAAGAGTTGGACACAATTGAGCATGCACATGTGCATATCTGAGGTTACATCCCATTTTTAAACTCATGAGAGCATTTGAGACTTTCATATTGTCAAAGGTTTGTCTATTTGATTTGTTTTTGCTTTAGTCTTAACTGTATTGTCCTTACAGTTTTTTTATTTGAAATTTTCGTGTTTTTTTTTCTTCCAGAAA